TGTGTGTGTGTGTGTGTTGCAGGATGTGACGGGTGTGTCCTGTATAACATTGGTGTGATCGTTATCTGTGGTTTACTGTTGGCAGTGCAGAGACAGCTGATTGTTTTTAATAGGGGCGTGGTGTGTGTGTGTGTGTGTGTGTGTGTGTGTGTGTGTGTGTGTGTGAGAGATGGTTAACACATTAACACACACACATGTCTGAACTCACCCTGCAGTGTTGAGGCTGCAGTTCAGTCCAGGTGTAATCGCAGTGTGTGACAGAGGGTTTTCCGCTGACTCAGCACTGTAAATTATTTTCTACAGACGCTTTTGTAGGTGTGTTACAAATCTGTTCATCTTGGAGGCCTACGGGGGAATTTTCTGTTAGCCAGTAACGTTTCAAATATCCTGACATCCATATTAAACAACCAGCCAAGTTGTGGCTGAAGTTAATCGTTTAGTAGCTGCAGTAACGAACCCCATATTCCCTAAAAAAGACAAAAACAAGATGGTCTAACATCAGTCTCTGTTGTCTCCTCCCTCTCTCCAGCTCCTCTTTCTCAGTGTCTCCATGGTGAAGTGGGCGGGGTCTGATGTCAGCCCCTCCTCTTTACGACCTTCCCACCATGCCCACCATGGTTTCTAGGCTTCCCAAGTTCGGCTCGCGGCCTAAATCCGCCGCAAATTCCAATGGAGCTCAGATTGGACCGGCTGCCACCCCAAGCACCGGCGTCTTCACCAGCACCGGCGCCGCCACCAGCACCCGCCTCACCAACGGGTTCTACCACCACCCCGGCCCCGCAGGGGTCAACGGCACTTTAACCGCATCTCCAGCTGCTGTCAAGCAGAATGGATTCATCAGAGTGCCAACTTCGTTTTCCATGAAATGGAGGAAAGAAAGTGAGACGTTGGAGGACGGGAAGGGCGGGAATCGCTCCGGTAACAATCAGTATAATTCCCAACAGCAGCAGGCATCACTGGTGCCGTCACAGCGCGACGCCAAGAAGCCAGCGCCTACTTCTGCAGGAAAGGGGCGTGGTTTGGGCCATCCTGTGACATCGTCATCATCGCCGGCGCCACAGTCCAGCCCCAGAGCACTTCCTGTCTCTAAGAGTGGATCTCAAGGCTCCAGCCAAACTGCATCCGGGTTAATGAACGGAGCAAAACTGGCCCTGAATGGTCTTTCTGGATCCAAACCACGAATCAGTGGTTCTCTGAGACCGCCTCAGAGCTTTGTTTCTTCCCGGCCCGGTTCTGGTCCTGGTTCTCGATCTGGTTCCCCTCTACAAAAGAAAACGCAAGCCTGCCGCTCCCACTCCACCGACAGCCTCGGGTCCGCTCCGTCTGTCCCGCTGACTGAAAGTGATCGTTTTCGGTCACGCAGCCTCACCCAGGTGAGACGGCAGCCCTCCCCCAACCTCTCCCCTTCTTCTGCCTCCTCCTCCCTCTCTCGCAACCCTGCCACCTCCCGCTCCTATGGCATCAACAGGGCCGGCGGGCGAGCTTCCTCCGCTCAGGCTACACCCAAAATGGCAAAATCTCCTGTTAGTCAGACTCCTGAGGGAGGGGGCAAAGGTGGAGGGGTCAAAGTTCAAAGTTCAGGAAGATCAGGCGCCAGCATCCCATCCCTCCTGCTCCCCTCTGCCTTAAAGAAGCCCCTCCTACCCAGCATTGGCCCCGCCTCTAAGCCCAGCGTCATCAGCTATAAGCTGTCACGCCCGTCACTCAACAAGCAGTCCCGCCCCCTGCGAGTGACCCCAGCCAATGAGGCGGAAGGAGACCCTGAAGGACCGACAGCACGGAGGATCTCCGTAGAGACGCCCTCGACTACAGAGAACAGCCCAGGTTTGACTTCCTGATCACAATATCATCATGTCTCATTTTATCATCTCATATTTCATAAAATCTCATATTTCATCCATCATATCTTTTCATTTTTATTCTTTTTAATCAGTGATAGCTCTCATCTTCTTTTCTTCTCACTTCATATCTCATCAAATGTCATATTTTCATTGTTTTTGCTTCCACTTTTTATTCAATGTCCTCGCCATCAGAAAGTACCCCAGAGGCTCCAGAGACAGAGGGGCTGATGACAGAGCCGGCATCCCAGGGAGAGGTGTCGATTGTGGGGGAGACGCTCGAGGACATGTCCCTGTCCTCTAACTCGTCTCTGGATAGAAATGACACCAGTCAGGAGTACATGGATGACTTTGACAACCTCGGTAAGAAAGGATTCTACATTTCTAGATTTGTACTGAGGGTCCGTACACGTGGAAACCAGCAGCATCTTATGTTGTGTTTGCAGGAAACGGAGGGGTGGGCATTCTGCTTCTCCCCTCTAAAGACGACGAAGACGACTCAGGGCTCGACCAGTCATGTGCCAGGTTTGATGAAAACAAGGTGGCCGTCAACGGCAAGGCGGCAGGACTGTGTTTTCTGGACGACGGTATAGACTGGACCAGCATGAGGCTCAGTGGTGAGTTTAATGGGATTGACGTAAAGGTTGGGAAACATTAGCTGAACAAATCTTATCAAAAAATCTCTTTCTCTCCAGGTGAGCAAGGGGAGCATCAACTGACCCGACTCCCCCATCGGAGAAGGTCCAGTCAGCCGGAGTACCATGACCAGGTAGCGGTGGAAAGAATACTGTTACATTACTCTTTAAAAACGTTAAAACCGCCTGATCTGGTCTGAACACGGCCTCCGTCCGGGTTCATATACTATAATAAAATATTGTGTGTCATGATACTTGACTCACAGTTTATAGGTGCAGTAGACCTTCAGACCAAATAGTGTGACACATCAGCCTTATTGTTCACAGGGTGTAAAAGCAGTTTCTAACCTCCTGTCAGCCGCTGCGTCACCCAACCAGCTTGTCAATTATTCAGCAGCACCAAACAGAAGCTGGAGTGAAGCAACGGTTGTGGTTTCTGCTGTGAGTCCATTAAAAGAAGCTGCTTCAGACAGACATATTTTACCAGTTTCTGCTGAGACGCTGTTCAGAGCTCGGCTCTGTTAGGAGTCAAAGGAGCCTCGTTCTTTTTGAAAATAGGAAGAAAAAAACAGCAGACAGTCAGAACGAAAGAGATTCCTACTAGAAATACTACTACTGCTAGTATTATGAACAATAATCTAAAATAAAGCTGCAAGCAGCGATGAACTGACCCTTGCATTCCAAACGTATAGGTGCTGCGGTCGCTTGGACATATGAGGAAGAAAACATTTATTAAAAAGAATTCAAATGAAAAGTGAAAATTGTTAAAATGAGATTAAAGATGCAAGCAGTGATTATTGTCATTTGTCAGCGTATAATGTGAAGACCACACTGTGAAAATTTCATGTTAATCAGATAATGATTGTAATACAAGACTTAGGTCCTGCTTCCAGTAGGTGGCGCTGTGACTAAATACTGGCATGTTGATGTGTTTCATGGTGAAATGTCAAAATGAATCACCACGCTTTTCATCGTGATGGTCTTTAGATCGGACTCACGATCTGAAGAGCACATTCAGTCTAATAAAAATGTGATTCACTTCACATCTTTCTCTGTCCTTTCGTAGGGCGGTTCGTCCCTAGACCTGTCCCCGTCGGACAGCTGTGGCTCAGGGGGAACCTACATGTGGGACGAGGAGGGCCTGGAGCCGCTGGGGGGCGCCGCCACGACCGCCTCAATCCACACTAACAGCAACACCACCCATCACATCGGGAGCTTCGACTCCGACCTCAACAGCATCGTAAGGCCTGAACTGACACTGATTAACCAGTTAAAGTAGACACCAATTTTCTGCAGATGTTTATAATAAGTTTTAATTAGTTTTATGTACCGATTAACAAATTATAGATTAATGTACAAATCTGTACTTGAAGCTGAAGACAGTTAAAGTTTTTCTCTTGTAGCACTATGGAGCTGTTTATCTTTGAGTGGGTTTTGTTTGAGAACATTTTTTAGAATTTTGCTGTTTTAATTATCCTTTTCTAATCCGATAATTCACAATGTGTATAAAAATATGTCCACAGAAACACAGATAATAGTGCTATAGATACAGCTCAGAGGTCTGCTTGTCCAGGAAGTCAAACAATGATAGATTTGTTATTTTCCTATTATATCAAGAGAGTGTCAGTGTTTTTTAATTAACACACTCACACATCAAAGTTTGTCTTAACTTGAAGTAAAGACAAAGATCACTATACTGTAAAATGTGTGCAATTTGATCCACTTCACAGAAGGAATTATTATAAAGAATTAACAATTAAATCTTTTCTAATACCTTAAAAGAGAGTTTTGTGTTCTAACCAGTGCAGTAAAATGTGATTTAACCTGTCTTTCATCAAAAAACAAGACATCATTTGACTTTACTAAACTCCTCCTGTGATTATTTGTCTGAAAATGATTAAATTAACTGTTGCTAACGCCACAGTCTGAGCAGCTGATTAAATAGAAAAGAGAAAAAGTGAGGAGCTGTTTAATATTCCAACAGTGTCGGCTCCATCCTGCCTCTCTGTCCCACTTGGGGCCAGTTCTTGGCTTCAGAAACCAGCAGTTAAAACGAGGTCATCCTGCATCGCCTGAGAACAAACCGAACATCAAACAGGCAGAAACAGATGAAGTTAAATGTCAGAATGGTGCTGCTCTTTGCCGTTGGCACTTGTTGCACATTTTTGGAGCGAGTCTGAACTCGAGGTCTGAACTTAGAGCTGTAAATCTCAGAGCTGCTGCTTCTATAACTAACTCTCCAGTATAATGACACCTGAATGCAGCACTGGAAGTCCCAGCAGCCGGTTGCACAAAACATCTTAAGTCTTCTTCTTAAGATTTTCACTTGTGTTTAAGACTTTATTTTAAACATTTGTGTTGGACTCCTTTGTCAGGATTCAACGATACACTCAACTGATGATTCTTTTAACAAAATTGAAGATGAAAAATATTTTTGTTCTTTATTCTCAGACAAAATGTCTTTTCTCTATTTGCTTTATCAAATTAAATTAATTAAAGAATAAATTTTTCAATCTCTAGTTATGGTATAAACTGTGCAAAACAATGCATATTTCCTTTTCTTTGTAAGAAGATAGCCCCCTCTGCTGTTTGAAATGAGTATTATTATTATTTTAACATTTGTATCACGATTTAACAGCCTTGTGATATATATTTACATTCCTTTACTTTTTTTTAGTTGTGTTTTTTTTTACCTTTTCTTCACCAGCTATAACAAGTGAGTGTGCAAACAATCAGTCTCCATGGAAACTGTAGTTTTACTGCTGTAAAATCTCTTAAAATGCCTCCATACTTTACCTTTAGTAAGCAAAGCTTTTAAGGAGAAATTAACTCTCAAGCGCCATACTTAAAGAGAAAACTTCCTGATATTCAGGTCTCATCATGATGACTGAAGTCTGAATGAGATCCTATGCCTCCCTCTTGTGTCCGCTGAGTGAATTACAGCTGCCACTGCCAACCAGTGACACTTTCACTGCTGTGTGTTGTTGTAGGGCATAGTTCAGTGCTGTAGATACAGGTCAGAGGTCAGTAATGTCTATCTGAATAATATAATAACAATAATGATATTATTAATATTAACTTTTATTTCATTTCACATGTTGAAGGTGAGGCAGCTGACTGAGATTATTCATAATATTTTAACACTTAAATTAGGTGACTTAAACTAAAACATTTTTTTGATTTCACAGGTGTGTCTGAAGTTAATTTTAAATGTATAAATTGTATTATGATAGAAAATAATTTGTCAAAAGAGAAGCCTATTGATGTATGATTGTTAAACAGACTGAGAATTCAAGAGAGAACTCAACTCTGATCAATATTCACAGGAAGAAATCTGCTCGAAATGCACCCAAATCTCTGGTTTTACACAAACTTCCTGCAGTTATTAAGTTTACTGTTTGGGTTCATTATGCAGTTTATCAGCTGTTCTCTGTTGTTATTGTTATTTATTAAATATAATTAGAGTTGTTCCGATTCCGATATCAGTATCGGAAATGTCTCCGATACATTACTGCCGAAAATGCTGGTGCACCGGTATGCCGCGAGTACTTGGAGCCCAGGCAGCCGATCCGGGATACGCACGTGAAGTTTATTAAATGTTGGTAGATCGGGTATTTTTACTGGTGTAGCTCCATAGCTCTCGACACACGTTCTTCTTCAGCTGCTGCTTTTAAAACAACCTGCAGCTTGCGCTGGTTTGTAGGTGTTGTTTGAGGAAGCGAGGGAAGGAGAGTTGAAAATCACACCTGAGACTATAACAATCGTGTGATATTTGTATAATAGGAAATGGCTATTATCTAGTCTGTGATAAGCACTGAAACCCTATACACCATCTGTGGCGAGGGCCTCTTTCTGTGTGTAATGCTACACTTATGGTTCCGGAACGAGCTTTAGGTTCTCATGTGGCAGCTACTTTCTATGCTGGATGCTGCCGCAGCGCAGCAGAATAGTTAGCATTGTAGTTGTGGCCTTCACTTGTGGAGTTTTAATTAAACTATATTAAATCAGTGTATCGTTGACGAGGAGAGATTTGTATATCGGAGCATTGCGAGTCTGTTTGTTGTGATTTAGTGGTTGAAGGTTCTGCTGTTGATCTGATCTGTGTGTGTGTGTGGGGTGATTTGTAGCGTGTGTGTTGTGTGGAAGGTGTGAGTATGTGAATTAGCTAGGGTCGTGCTGTCAGCGAGATGTGTGATGCGTAGTTGGATGTGGATTCAGTTTGAGTTCGCGTAGTGTCGTGTGCGAGGGTGTGCTTTAATCCTGGCGATGATTGGATACCATTCGTTATGATGTGTGCGGAAAATCTTATTTGTTAAGTTTGAAGTAGTGATTCCACCTTGACTAGGTGGGAGCAATCGTCACTCTGTATCGCGATACCCACAGCACAAGTATTCGAAGGAAATCGGTGATCAGGAAAACACTGCTAGAATGGAGGCTATCTGTGAGGTACACGTCTCTACCGACAGAGTCAAGTTTGGTGGGGTTTGTGAATGCAGAATGGGAGTCAGAGTTGTAATGAGTGTGAGAATACACCATGATTAATAAGAGTCTATCAGCGACGTTTGATTCGCGGTAATAA